AGGTGGCTGATATAATAGGTGGACAACGTCAACCCACGCCACCATTGCGCTGCGTACCCCAACGGTTACACGACGCGACGCGACGGCAAGCTGAGAGGCAATGGTTACCTCACCTCCTGCCGGCATGGACGATGCGGCGGAGTGAAGACGCCAAGGTAATGAGACTCAGAGTAAACAGCGCTGTATGCCAGTGCGTGCGCGTGCGGCAGGGTGCAACAAGGGAGTAGGTGGCTGAGATAATATGTGGCCAACGTGTCCTCACGCCACCTCTGAGCTGCGTACCCCTACGGTTACACAACGCGACGCGACGGCAGGCAAGGGGATCGCGCGCCGAAGAATACGATTCGACCCGCGGCCGCATAACCATCTGAGAGGCGATGTTTTCCTCACCTCCTGCTGGCATGGACGATGCGGCGGAGTGAACAAGCTGGCCCAGAACGCATCCTGAGACCATACCTGCTGAGGCCGGCGCGCCTCACGTAGGCCCTCTGCCCAAGACTGGGAGGATACGAACTTCGAGAGTTTCGTATCGGGTGCGACCCCCAGAAGGCTCACGGCGAGGGGCATCTCCGACCTTCAAAACCCCTTCGGGTTTCGGGGACGATGAGCTTGGCGAGTCATTGAGGACGAGTCGGGTCCCCAGTTGTCCGTTTCCCTGGGGGGGTCCTCAGTTGTCCGTTTCCCTGTGCCCCGCATCATCGCCTCGGCGCGCGGTGGGGACAGCAGCGATTGACGACAACAAAGAGAGAGCATTTTACTAGCGGCGAGCTGTGTAGCAACAGTCCAGTGGCGTCAGCGAGGCAGACGGCGACGACAAAACTAAGCACAAGACAGCGGCAGTGGCGCTGCCTAGGCGCCTAACGCCTGCGCAATCGGAGGGCGAGAGGGGGGAAGTGAGTTACGGCTGAAGCAATGCCGATACGGGCAAATAGTCTTCCAAGCACTGGGCAGGACCCCTCTTAGAGTTGGGGTGTTGCCGCCGGGAAAACCTCTGCCAAGAGTCCCTAGCGCCGTGCGAAGGAAACCTCAAATTACAATTGGATTTCAAGTTTCGGAGGTTCCCTGGCTCAGAGTAAGCACCGCACCGGCTGCAAATGAATACCACCCCAAGTGCATAATTGGAAACGTGCAGAATGTGTTTCCGAGGATTTTGCACCAACTGGGTGAAGGCTTCATTGTGGCCTCTGCACGGGCTCACTGTCGGTGCCGGCTTGTTGACTCCTCTGGAAAATGTCAAGCATATGCGGCAGACCCATCTGCTGTGCTTCCAAGCCCAATCGTGCTCTCTGATCGGGCCTGGAGGGCGGCGACCTGGCCGAGGATGAAGGCCAGGAGGGGGAGGTGGGGGCGGAGGTGGGGCTGGGTCTGGCAGCACTTGCCGCGCCGCACCTACCCCTGTGATGAAGCCTTCCTCGCGGAGCGATTTGTCGAAAACCGACCGCATGGCTTTAGAAGGAGCTATTTTTGGAAATAGCAGCAACGCCTGCACAGCATAAAGCAAATAACGCCTCAGGGTCTCCGACTCTTCCTTCCAGCTTTCCTTCTCAGCCTCTGACGGCTGAGGAAGTGACAGTGCGCCTTTCTTGGCGTACCTGTCAGCCAACTCAATGCCTACTGCTTTGTACCAGTCAGGCGAAAGCTGCGGGAGCGACGCAGGGTCGACATGCGCGGGCACCTTCTCAACGCGAAAGTCTTCATCCCAAAATGGGGACCCGCGTATCTGGATATTGAGGCCTGCGTAAAAATGCTGACGCGATGCAACCCTAGACCAAGGTGCTCCCGCCATCTTGACTAGGCCTAGGAAGTCTGAGTGGATAAGAGACACCTGGGGGCAGTGCTGCATGACTGCCAAAACTGCTATATGCTCGGCTGCTGGTGATGTCTGTGGGTACGCCGCTCCCACGGCCCCCCAGAGAGCAGCGAACAATTCTCCAGTAGGCGTCACTTTCACGACCGACCATCCTGCTGAATGATACGTGCTAGGACCCTCCTTGAAACATGAGCCATCGGTGAAGACATCACCCGCGAAGGCTTGATGTATAGATGCCTCCGGGTCGGCGCACCAGAACTGAAACGGGGTAGTACCTGAGCCTTGTGGCGGGGCCGCCACTGGGCCAGGGACCTCCATGAACCCGCACGCTAGAGGAAAGTTGCGACAACGATCCGAGAGCAGGATCCTGTCCGCCTCAGTGAGCATTTGCTCCCTCAACTGGGCAGTGCAGGGGCAGTGGTGTAATCGGTGCGACATGCAGTCGGAGGGGCCACCACATATGCATGTTGTCTGCACCTGGTATCCTGCTCTCTTGAGCTGGTGGCAAGACCGCAGGGACTGACAGAGAAAGGAAAGTAATATGCTTTGTTCATGGCGCTGGAGGCTGTGCTCACGCATCAGCTGCCTGGCAACACTGAAATCCAGCATAGTGCCAGTTGGGAGCCCCATCTTGGCGGCGACGGTTGATACGTGGCCTTTCTGCCATTCGTCGCGGAACTTAATTTCTATGTACCGAGGCGAAAAGGCCGTGAGCGGCCATCTCTCTCCTGAAGGATCTTTCAAAATGAACGGGGTGGCGAAGGACCACCCAATGCGCTGCAGAGATAAGATGGCCGCCGAAAATGGCCCCCGGACATCCGCCCATACCGACGGGGAGCGGTCCAGGATGGGCCCGGCGAGGGATTGCAGGGAGGAGAGCGGGTGAGGGTTGTGGTTAGAATTGTCTAAGCTGGACTTCCAAACAATCTTTGACCACAACAGGGCAGGGGCAAGTCCCTGCCTCCATGTCGGGTCCTCGTGAAGAGCCAGCGAGACAGACCTCGAGCGCGTCTCCCCTCTGGCACCGACTAGCTTGAGGAAGAATGATTGGACTTCCCCCAGCTCCTTTCGGTCGAGTCCTGTGACCCCAGCGCCGTATAAGCCGAATTGGTCCGGACCTGTTGTAAAGAGTTTGCGCATATCTGTGCCTGCCGCTTTGACGGCAGACAGACGGCGTCTCCTAGCCTTGAGTTTGCCGATCCGTTCCTTAAGAACAGGGCGGCTGCTCCGGAGTTTACGTAAGTTACCGGGCGCAAAATCTATACCTAAGTTGCGGCCTGAAGATGCGACCACGCCAGCGTGCCGACCAAGGGCCCTCGCCAGCTTGCTCCGCAAGCCGGCAGAGTTGGCAATCGTGATCGATTTGGCCGCGGCAACATTGCAGTGCAGGTCACGCGTGATCACATCGAGGAGGTCTGCAGCCCCTCGGACTAACAGGTTGACCACCTCGTCTGGGTCTGCTCGGGTGAGGCCCGAGAGCGGCGCGGGACCGCCTCCGAGTGACCCGGAGACGGTCCCGCGCCGCCTCCAGGTGACTTGGAGGCGGTCCAGAGCTGCCTCCGGGTGACCCGGAGGCGCCCCCGCGCCGCCTCCGAGTGACCCGGAGGCGGTCCTGAGCTGCCTCCGGGTGACCCGGAGGCGCCCCCGCGCCGCCTCCGAGTGACCCGGAGGCGGTCCTGAGCTGCCTCCGGGTGACCCGGAGGCGCCCCCGCGCCGCCTCCGAGTGACCCGGAGACGGTCCTGAGCCGCCTCCAGGTGACCCGGAGGCGCCCCGAGCTCCCCGTCGGGCCCGCCGCCGTGGCCTGGGGGCGTCGCCGCGGGCAGAAAAACGCCTAAAGGCCCCCCACACACCGCCTACAGGCGCCCCTGCCTACAGGCACGCCTACAGGCCCTCCTTGCCTACAGGCGCGCCTAAAAGCCCTCCCTGCCTAAAGGCATCCGCGCTCCCCAACGGCAGCGCCTACAGGCGCTACCTGCGGGGCCTTCCTGGCTGCGACGACCCATAGGGCCTATAGGTCGCGGGCGCTCGCAGAAGGGAGGAGCGCCGCGTATACGCGGGAACCAACCCAATGGGTCACAGTCCAATGGGTCCGCATCCTCCAAGGGCGATGAGGGGAGGAAGGAGGAGAGAGGAGAAGTTTGGAGGTGAAGGCAAGAGTGGCGCGCGCAAGAGCGGGCCGCGAGGCCCGCGCAGCACGAGGGGTGTTATCGCCGTGGGCCTGGCGTCTAGGGGATCCCCTTGCCAGCCCGTGGCGTGAGCGTAATCTGTGAACGCACGAAAGCTGGCCCGGACGCTGGCCAGCGTCTAACAGGAGATAAGCAATGTTAGCCAGACAGAATGATATTATGCAGGACTGTCGGCCTTGCCGCCAGACTGTGTCCTTGAGGCAAATGCCTCGCGACATGCTTGCAAAGTTACACTGTGGATGCACGAAAGCTGCAAATGAAGCTGGCCAACCTCTGATAGGAGATAACCATGGTAGCAGAGTGCAATTGTGCAGGACTGCCGGCCTTGCCGCCAGGCTGTGTCCTTGAGGCGAATGCCTCGCGACGTGCGTTCATAATCTGTAGACGCACGAAAGCTGGCCTTGACACTGGCCATCGTCGACTAGAAGACAACCCATGGTAGCCGCAAAGCGTGAGACTGTGCAGGACTGCCGGCCTTGCCGCCGGGATGTGTCCTTGAGGCCACTGCCTCGCGACATACTTGCATTATCTGCGATTGCGCGAAAACTGGCAGTGACGTTGGTAGGAGTCAGCCATGCAAGCCGGACAACATGGGGTTATGCAGGACTGCCGGCGTTGCCGCCGGGCTGTGTCCTTGAGGCGAATGCCTCGCGACATGCTTAGATAAACTGTGGATGCACGTAAGCTGAAACTGAAACTGGTCGACGTCTGACAGGAGGAACCATGGCAGCAGAGTGCAAATGTGCAGGACTGCCGGCCTTGACGCCGGGCTGTGTCCTTGAGGCGAATGCCTCGCGACGTGCGTTCATAATCTGTGGACGCACGAAAGCTGGCCCTGACACTGGCCATCGTCGACTAGAAGACAACCCATGGTAGCCGCAAAGCGTGAGACTGTGCAGGACTGCCGGCCTTGCCGCCGGGCAGTGTCCTTGAGGCGAATGCCTCGCGACATACCGCATTATCTGCGATTGCACGAAAACTGGCAATGACGCTAATAGGAGACAACCATGGTAGCCAGACGAAAAGATATTGAGCAGGACTGCCGGCCTCGCCGCCGGGCTGTGTCCTTGAGGCGAAGGCCTCGCGACATGTGTGCAGCATCCGCGGTGCGCGACAGCTGGCACGGCCGTTGGCCACCGTCTAAGACGAGGCCATGGTAAGCGGAGAGAGTAAGATTGTGCAGGACCGCCGGCTTTGCCGCCGGGCTGTGTCCTTGAGGCGAATGCCTCGCGACGTGCGTGCATAATCTGTGGATGCACGAGATCTGGCACTGCCGTTGGCCTTCGCCTGCGCACGAGGAGCCAAGCGTAGCATATGCCCGCGTGTGCCTTCAGACAACGAAGTAAAGATCTCGAGGCGAGCGACCTCGGGCATTGACCGCCTTCCTTGCAAGATGGGCAACGGTGATTGTGCAGGACCGCCGGCCTTACCGCCGGGCTGTGTCCTGGAGGGCAGAACCTCCGACTGGAATGCTTCTCCGCTGGCATGTGCGCCAGGCCATGTCCTACGGACACATGCCACACGCTAGGATATGAGAATGTGCAGGGCCGCCGGCATTGCCGCCGGGCTGCGTCCTGGAGGTCAGACCCTCCGACTTGTCCGAATGAAAATTGACAAAACCGGGCAGTGTCATGGAGGCGCATGCCTCCTAAGGAAGGTGTGTAGGGTCGCCAGTATTGCTGGCAGGCTCCTGGAGGAGAAATCCTCCGGCGTCCTCGTTGAGACCATCTGGCGGAGCCGACAGGCAGCTGGTGTCAACCTCGCTCAGGAGGGCCATGCTTAGCCTGTCACTGGCGAAACGTGTTCCACCAGGGTGACCACCCAGGCGGGGCCTGTGGCTCTCCGACCCGAACCTGCAAGGTGGGCAATATAAGCACTGCTGGAGGAGGTCCGGTCTAGGGCGACGCATCCTCCTTGTGCTGGGAGGGCACTTGAGCGTGCCTCTTGCCACTGTCGCCCCGCTGTTCACTCCCCTGGGGGCTCGGCTGGGGTGCTCGTCGGGCGTGGGGAATCCACGCCCTTAGTGGCGCCCCGTGCGTCCCCAGCCGACTCCCCCAGAGGAGTATAGAACAGCATTGGCACGGGGGGGAGGAGGAGGAGGAGGAGAAGGAGGAGGAGGAGGAGGAGGAGGAGGAGGAGGAGGAGGAGGAGGAGGAGGGGGAGGAGGAGAAGGAGGAGGAGGAGGAAGATGGGGAGGAAGAGGAAGAGGAGGAGGGGAGGAGGAGGAGGAGGAGGAGGAGGAGGAGAATGAGGAGGAGGATGAGGAAGGATCCCTCCCTCCCTCCCTCCCTCCCTCTTCCTCCCCGGTCGATCCCCGCAGAGGCCAGCGGCGCTGGGTGGCTCCTCTGCATCACAGTGTGGGCCAGCTGGGCCAGATCAGACGGAGTCGGCGTCTCCTAGGGGGCGAGCATCCTCCCCGCAGGTTGGCTCAGCCAGCAGGGGGAAAGGCCACGGTTTACACGCGCCAGAGGGATGGAGAGGAGGAGGAGGAGGAGGAGGAGGAGGAGGAGGAGGATTCTCCCGCTCGCGCGCCAGCGAGCTGTCTCCGAGCGCGGCCGCGGCGTGCGCGCGCGGGGCGGCCCAAAATGGGCAGGCCCGTCCCGCGCGCTCAAGCCGGGGCGCCGCGCGTCAGACGGTGGAGTCCGTCTGGTCGCCGATGTCGGCGAGGCAGCGCCCGTCAGCCTTAGAGTGGGAGAGGAGGGAGGGGGGCTGAGAAGCTGCGGAGACAGCAGGAGCTTGCTCACAGAGAATAGAAGAAGCATTCTCCCGCTCGCGCGCCAGCGAGCTGTCTCCGAGCGCGGCCGCGGCGTGCGCGCGCGGGGCGGCCCAAAATGGGCAGGCCCGTCCCGCGCGCTCAAGCCGGGGCGCCGCGCGTCAGACGGTGGAGTCCGTCTGGTCGCCGAGGTCGGCGAGGCAGCCATGCCCGTGCTCAAGGACCTTGCGAAGTGACAAGGTTTTGGCGGGCGGCCGCAAGCAGGGCAGGCCAAGCGGCGGGGCCGACTTGGAGGAACGAAGCGACGAGGCGGTCGCTGGCGGTGGCGAAGAACAAGATACGAGCCCGCGCGTGCTCGGGGAGCGCAGCAAGAACTGTAGAGGCGGCGGCGGCTTGCAGGTAGCGTTCGGCACTGGAAGCCTGACGCCAGCGCCCTCGCCAGAAGACGCGAGGGACGTCTTCCGTGGCGATATAAAAGTCTGTTGCGCCAGAGCCCCGCAGACAAGCGGGCGTCAGGTTGAGCCCCTGACCTGCTTTGGCAAGGGGGACGCCCAGAGCCAAAAGCAGATGATTCCACCGAGTACGGAAGCCGCTCGCACCGAAGGGGGCGAGAGGATCGGTGGAAGCCAGCCTCCCAAACACAAGATTCAATATCTTCACCGTGCCCCGATCGGAGCAGCGAGCATGTTGCGTCGGGTACGTTCTTCTGGTCTTTGGAACAAGAATCGAAAGAAAAGCATCTCCTTCGACTTCGAGACGGTCGCACGGAAGCGACAGGTCACAGCGGCGGGACGCCGGCAGTTCGCCAGGCCTGAGGAACATCGTGAAGCCCATGAGCAGCAGTGCCGCCATCACAGGCCAGTCCCAGGCGAGACAGAGCCCGACCATGGCGCGCAGCAGCGCGCGTGGCAAGGGGGGACGGAGCTTTGGCGGCTCCGCAAGCTTCCATTGTTTCGCTACGTCCCAAGCTTCTGTCAGAAAGGCCTTCCAATGCGGATGGGCGCTCTGGATTCCCAAGATGGCGTGGACCAAAATATAATGGGGAAACCTGCATCATGAAGCCACACGCCGAAGGTCGCTAGGAAACGGGCGAGAAGTATCCCGCTTCGGTAAAGCGTGGCGGGTGGCACGCCAGTGTGTTCTGCTAACCACAGCTCGAAGGCATCAATCGATCTCGAACGACGGTCGAGATACGCGGAGGTGAGGTGAGAATCGCGCACGAAAGGAGTGCGCGGAGGGCGAGCGGGCGCGGGCGGCGCAGCTCCACTAAGCCCTTGGCCGGCGGTCGGCGCCGCGGCTCCCAGAGAGATGCAGAGGCCGCAGACGCACCACGGGATGAGCGCAGGGCGGCCAGGGCTCGGAGAGCTGATGAGCGTGGCGGCCCTCCTGCGCCTGGACGCGTAGAAGGGCGGAACGAGGGCGTCCCGCCCGTCGGTCTCGAACCCCGACGCCTCAGCCAGCATCGCCCGCGCCGAGCTGAAGGACCCGCCCATGTTACGGTAGGCGCGGCGAGCCCCTGCTTCGATCTCGGCTGGCAGAGCGTCCCCTTTCTCGAGGGTCGGCCAGTCAAAAGGCGGGCGCGGCTCGGCACGCGCCGCTGCGGCTGCTTCGGCCAGCTCGGAACGAGCTGCCGAGGACGTGAGGCCCGAATGATGAGGCACGGGCACCACCTCCGCGAAGGCGTCGAGGATCTCGGACGGAGGGGAATGGGATCCCCACAGCGCTGCTGGGATGGCGCCGTGACTGTCCTGCACGTGGTACAGAAAGTCGAAAAGGCAGGCCAGTTTGCCCGCGCGCCGCCGCTGCTCGATCTTTGAGCCGAGCCCGATGCCACGGATGGCGCCCGCTC